CGCGCGCCTGTTCGTAACATCAGACAGCTCAAGAACTGCTGAAACATAAAGGCAAAGGTAAAGTTGTCCCTGTGCTTAACTTAAGTACTACGCCATGAAGGCGTATGGAGGAGTGGATGTATAGACCCACGTTTACATGGCCTCGGCTCTGATTTGAGGTGAGTGGTTAGCTTCACACCCCGGCCGCTTTATCCGGAGAAAAGATCTCACGGTACCCATTGGAAAGGAGGCTGGGCGGCACACTGTGGAGAAGAGAAATGTTCTCACGCTACCGGGACTCGAACTCCGACCCCTCGGTCTTCCTGTCCGTAGTCAGTCGCTAAACCGACAGCGCCATCCAGGCCCTTATTTGATAAAGGTGTCAACACAAATCATTATAGATCTTTAAAGATGGACAAAATTTTACTCAAAATGACAACGAAGCCTAAGTCAGAGTAACTGGGCGTTCGTTATAACGGTTTCTGTGCGCGGAGTTCCGTAATACGAGGACTGTCTACACCCACTTTCTAGTGAGAGACCTGCGTCAGTCCTTAGCAGACACTACTCTTGCTTTGGAAGTCTGCTTTAAATATCCGGAGATTCCCCACAACCGTTAATGCACATTCTCTTATTTACGCATTGATCTAGGTCTGTCTGTGTGGACGTATTTAGATCTGTCTCACATCTAGAGTTGGGTCACGTCTAGGGCTCTGTAACATCTAGAGATGAGTCACGTCTAGGGCTGTGTCACATCTAGGGTTGGTTCACGTCTAGGGCTGTGTCATATCTACGGTTGTCATATCTTGGGCTGTGGTCGGGAGACTCGTGAGTCAGATCTAAGGCTGTTTTACGCATAGGGCTGCGTCAGATCTAGAGATGGATATCTGGGGGTGGGTCACGTCTAGGGCTGTGTCATATCTACGGTTGTCATATCTTGGGCTGTGTAACATCTAGAGCCGAGTCAGATCTAGGGCTGCGTCAGATCTAGAGATGGATATCTGGGGGTGGGTCACGTCTAGGGCTGCAGATGTGGAGGGAACACATTTTTCCAGTCCCGAGTGTTGGTTTAGGAACTGCTCTCAGCAGAATGCGCAGTCTGCAGGGGCCTAGTTACAGTACACCACCACTGCAACCACTGGCCCGCTATTTGTTGCCATACTTCGCCTCACGCACAACTCACAGACTATTGCATATATATTTCTTATTTATTTATAGTTTAATTATCGGCGGTGTAAGTCGGACTATGTACTCATTCTGCTTATAATCGAACGATAGGGTCGTTAGTAAATAGAGAATTGGAGGAGCAGTGGTGGCCTGTACTTCCCCGGAAGTTTGACGTGGGACCGATGAAAATCAGGAAAAGCCGTCTTCGATCAGAGTCGGATACTTTGCGAGCGAGCAGAAGTCAGAACCGCTTTCGCTCGAGCATGTCTGTATGAATGAACGTGTGCTACCACATATTTAGACACGCATATACACGTATGTACGTATGTTGCTTCAGAAACACATTTGTCACGGATGTTCCTTGCTGCGCTGTAACTCTCCGCTTTCCCCAACAGCACATTCGTGGCGTGAGCGTTGCGCACGTGGCCATGTTGAGGTTGTCTGACAACTTCCTGCCTGTCAAGCCTGTCCGTACACCACTTACAGTTAGTTCCGCAGGCGGACTCATTGAAAGCGTGGGAAGTGCGCAGGACCCGATGCTGTGTTTACAGACGGCAGTAAAGCAGTAAATCGCTTGCTCCTGTCTGTCTTCAGCTTTCTCAAGAAACAAAAAAGTGTAGTTAACTTCGCGCATGCAGACTATTCACAGACAGCAGCAGTAGTAGTAGTAGTGCCGATCGCAGTGGCAGCGCGGCCAAAGGCATGAACAAGCTACGCCCGCTCAAACACTGGGATCGTGGGTTCGAATCCCACCTAAGGCATGGATGTATGTGTGCGTATATTATGTGTTTGTGTTGTTCTGTCTATAAGTAGAGGGCTTGCTACGGGCTGATCCCCCGCCCAAGGAGTCCTTTGGACCGTAAAGCTCAAGATAGATAGTAGTAAGAAACGAGGTAGTTCAAACGGAATGATGACGGACGGATTAGGGGCTGGACGTTTGAGGTTCGATTCCCGGCAGCGTCAAGAGATTTTTCCGTACTCCACAGCGTCCAGACCGGCTCTGAGGCCCACACAGCCTCTTACAAATGAGTAAAGCGGCCCGAGGCGTGAATCTGCCTACTCACCCCCCCCTTCTACTGCCTTGGTCTAGCATTCTGTATTACAGCATCCTGTTGCAATTGTATAACTTAACGTCCATATTGCAACACTTGTTTATTCACTACTTAATTTTAGTTTCACATTATACACTTTGACACTACATGTTTCGGCCCCAAACGGCCATTTTCAGGTGTCTTCATATGTTACAAATATTTTATTAAACTATGTTACAACTGTTGCACTGTCTTAGTTCGTGTTAAAATCACACGCTGCAGTCCTCTTTTCAAGGTTAAACCAGATAAAATGCCTTAAAGTTTCTATTATACCCACATTATTTTAGTGCATTTTCTTTATTTCACCTCACACGGGGTGACGTCCATTGTTCATAAATGTAGGATCTAGAAGGAACCTGTAATGTTATAATTGAGGTACTGGCCCAGTATTTGCCTTTCAGGATGCACAAAAATCCACGAGAAGCCTCAGTCACTATAGCATGCGCCCCTGTCTAGACTGGAAACCAGCTCGTTCCTAATTCTGAGTCCGCAACATTACTGCCAGACAGACTCTCAGACCTCCTAAAGTAATACATAAATTTACACCCTTCCCGGTCTGCCTGTCAAGTGAACAGCAGAGTTCTGTCCGGTATTGCAGGTCCCCATCTGAATGTAGGACGACTGCAGTGACAGGCCGCGCGTTCTAAAGGCGCGTCCACATTACTCGTGCTCGCCAGGCTTATGCTCGTCGGGAGACTCGTTTGGCTTTTACTTGTGCTCGTAAATTTTCGTCCACACTACTTCAGTTGCTCGCCAGGCTTCGGCGCGTGAGAGGATCCGTATATTTACTCGTAGTGTGTATAGGCTGTAGTCGTATTTTAATTTACTGGCTATAGTTTTTAAATTAAAAATTAAAAATTTGCTTGTCTCGTGACTTGTCATATCGTCAACATTACTCGCGAGCATAGCGAGTCACACGAGCACGAGTAATGTGGACGCATGAACTGTCTTCGCTCGCTCTGACACTGGTGTCATGGGTTTGAATCCCACTCAAGCCATGGATGTCTGTGTGCGATTGTTGTGTGTTTGTGGTGTCTTGCGAGGGGCTGATTCCCCCTCCAAGGAGTCCTACCGACTGTTTACAGGATTACGAAACTGTAAATAAAAGGTCGAGATTCATCATGAGCTGTAGCGTCCTAACTGACATGTAGCTGAGCCCTCCTTGAGAAGCCACCAGTTGCTCAGATAGTCAAAAACTTCTCAACATTTTATGGTACCTGAAGGTTCATTACCGTGTTCACAGGAGCCCTCCACTGGTCCCTAGCATAAGCCAGATCAATCCTGTCCATACTACTGCATCCTATCCCTCTATTAATATTATCCAGGCACAAACATCTTGGTCTTGCCAAATGGTCTCTTTCCTTCTGGCTTTCCCACCAAAATCCTAGATGCATTCCTGTTCTCCCATTTGTGCTACATGCCCTGCATATCTCATCGTCCTTGACTTGATCATTCTAATTATACTTGGAGAAGAGTACAAGTTATGAAGCTCCCATTATGCAGTTCTCTCAAACACCCTCAGTCTATGTTCCTTCCTTAACGTAAGAGACCAAGTTCACACCCATACAGAACCACAGGCAAAATTAGTTTTGTATACGCTAGTTTTTATGTTTTTAGACAGCAGACGAGAAGACAAAAGCTTCTGGACTGGATGGTAGCAAGCTGTAGCGGCCACATATTTTTGTTATACCGGACTGTACGGTGACAGCGGGAACCGAAATGTCTTTGCGGCCTCTTGCTCAGCCTCAGATTCGCGAAATGTTTTGCTGGCTGTTCCCAAAAACAGAAATAGGCCCCATGAAACAAAATCCCCCTGGTGATGGAATTATAAGTAATGGAGGAACTACGCGTATGCCTGTGGCTAGTGGAGTTTCACACCATCTCACGTTTAAGACCTTTGAATAGTGTTAAATTGCGCAGTGAACTGAAATTTCTAAAATCGAGGTACATACGAATTTTCATGGAAATTATTCTATTTCAAACTTAAAAAAAAAGCATTTAATTATTAACCGATTAACCGACTAAAGAAAATGATTAATTCCCATTAGTTGAGTAACTTGCCTGCCGATCACAGAGGCCGCGCGGTGTAAGGCATGAACCGTCTCTGCCCGCTCGAACACTGGGATCGTGGGTTCGAATCCATCTCGGAGCATGGAATTCTCTCTGCGTTTACTCTGTGTTCGTGTTGTTCTGTGTGTAGAAAGCGGCACGTATGACGGGCTAATCCCCCGTCAGAAGAGTCCAACCGACTGTGTATAGGATTAAGGAACTGAAAAAGCTTTCAAGGTCCAAAAGGGCTGTGGAGCCATAGAGAGAGAGAGAGAGACTCTCACAAGTAGTGTCATTAAGAGACAGTTTACATTTCTGAGGACTAGTCGGGTCGGGTCGGGTCGGGCCTGGCACAGTAACGGGGTGACAATAACCATGAAATCAAAGCTCGGCTCTGACCGACTGGAATCGGATAGGGTCGGAGTTATGGAGAAGTGGGACACGTACTGTCGCTAAGGCCCCCCATACACACACAGTTTGGCCTGCCGATCGACCTGCAGGTAGAACTGACGGACTGACGGGTTTCCTACAGTCCAAACGATTGGCCGGCCGGCCGCCCCACACACATCAGTTTTGCCTTTCAGCTTTGAACTGTGCAGGCCGAACGGGAGGCCAAACTGTGTGTGTATGGGGGGCCTAAGAGACGAGGGTTTGATTTCGACCGACTGGTGTGGTCGGTTCGACCTCTAGTGACACTGTTCGGTTTCTTGCTTGCAGATGCAACTCGGAGCGCTGTGCTTGGTGGCGGTGTGGGCCTGTGTTGCTGTTGCTTCTCCTGCCATCAACGAAATCCGGCAGCCCAACAGCCGCCCTGGTCGCTTCCTGTCCCTCCCTGTTCCTTCCAAATGCAGTCAGAGTAAGCAGTTTCTCATTATTGCATGCCTAAAACATCTCTGAGTGTACGTCACGCCTCGAGTAGCCAACCTTACGGAAGAAACGTTATCTTTATGTTCAACGGAATCCCCGACAAGGAGAGTTTGGTTCCATGAAAATACAAAATAAAGCAACTTTCTACGAGGGAGAGTCAGTAAATAGGTCATAAACGGATATATAAAAAAAATATTTATCGACATATCCTCCACCAACACTGATACACTTGTCCTATCACTTTACCCGTGTGTCGAAACCCGCAGCATAGAAGTATTTTGAGTGCTGTCTCAGCCACTTCCGCACCCCCGTTTTAACCTCTTCGTCATCAGTAGAACGTTTGCCACCAAAGTGAAATCACTTTATGGCACAAACACTACCAACCGTAAACAGGAAACACGTCTTTATGAATACCTTTTGCTTTGAGCCCTTTTGCCCACAAAGAAAACGTACAACAGAACTCTTCTCTTCGGTGGTACACCCTCAAGCATGGTCGCCATTTTAACTACTGAAACCAGCCTCTGAACATGTGCATGCCCGTCTGCTACTTGGACTGTCGTGAAGCTGTACAGTGCTGCTGCTTAGTGGTACACACGTGGTACTTCCATAACAGATGTTTTGCCTCCATTGGTGACCTATTTACTTACTCGCTGTCGTAACTATGACGTTAAAATCGGGTGATGACGTAATATGAGCTGTTCTATATCTGTTTACCTTGGCACCAAGGTAAAGCAGAGCCAAGAGAAGAAGTTATGTTATGAAAAACAACGCGGTTAACAAGACCAAGGTTTTGTGGAAAATGGGAGGTCAAGGGAACCGCCGTTAACCGTTTAAAGCGCAGTTTCTACTATATATACCACTTGCTTTCATGTGGAAAGTCTCTGAATTCTGCCTACGCAATGTGTTGCATATATTTGTCGCAATGAACAGGGATTAGTGTACTAAACGACCTTAACCTGTTGTTATTTATAATGGATAGGGCAGCGTGTTTCCTGTGAGGTAGGAGCTGAAGTTATAAACATTTCTGGGAAACTTCCGGTTAAAATCGGCCGTAAGCTGAAATCTTTAATACAGGAACCATATTTTTATAGGCTATCTGATTCGATAGAAAGTCAGTCCATATTAAAATATAAATACAAATGAGATTGGAATTCTTTGGAAGAAACGATACATTTTAGAGGTTTGTTATATTAAAGGGCGATACGTTTTGTGTTCAACAACAACGCTGTCAGCGTGTTGTGTCTGTAATTATGTAAATATCAGAAAAAAGTACATGTGTAATTGTTTCTAGACATTGCATTAATTAAGCAGTTTTATGCTCAGGAGTTCGACCATATCAGTGGAGAAGTTATTGACAGGCTTGATTGATAAATTTTTCTGAACCGGTCAATATTGATAGCCTCTACGTGCTTGATGTTCTGAAGAGGGAAAAACCTTCATAAACTGAGTCACATTCAATGATAAGTCACATCACACATTCATATTATATATCAATATTTGCAGAATAGACACGATATAATTTAAAACTTCAGAGAATTTTAGAAGAAAATTCCGGAAGTCTCCAGTGAAACTAAAGCATGTGGAATTGGAATTGGCAGGGGAAGCCGAAGCACTCGGAGGAAACCTGCCCCAATTCCACTTTGTCCACCACAAATCCCACATGAATATACCCGGGCTCGAACCCGAGCCGCCGCGGTGGGAAGCCGGTGACTAGCAGCATGAGCTATGGCGCGGCCCCAAATTTCTGCGTAAGTACGAATTCCCGAAAAATGGAGTCCAGTAATTTTCTAATGATCGCGTAGGTAGGTCACTGATGGCATCCGACATGACCGTCGCGCAGTAAGCAGTAGATGCAGTGTCCTTCTCGACCGCGAGGCTTCCCTCCGTCTGCTCGAAAACGCAGTTCGACCAGGTAATACAGTTGGAACTCAGGATACAATTTCCCTTCATAATGACTTGTATGAATGACTAATTTGCATTTTTAATTGTTGTGTTGAGAAGCGCTGCGTAGGCAGGCCATGTACACATGTGCCTGTCCACACTATAGTATAATATTGTCACGTACAGGGGTGACTTATAAGACGGGTTCAGGATTGGATGATTGGTTTTATTGACACCTTATTCACACAACTCGGGACTACAGGCAATACAGCGGTATCGCTGATTTACACACTTTACAGTTCACTGTTACAAACGCACTTGCATTCTCAGTCGTCACTAGTCATATCCAGGCAACGTATTTATAACCGTATCACTTTAACTTCAAATCACATATGAAGTGTTCTTTGCACAGTCTAATTCATTTCTTGCCATTTCTTCTCAATCACCTTAGACTGCCGTCACCAGAACTCGACCCAGTTCTCGACAACTCACACAAATGAACTCGCCTTCATCTGAACTGTCTTAGCTTCTAACAACAACCAACTCCTCTGAGCTGAACCCTTCTTTCTAAACATTTTGCATGGATCACACAGAAAACACAGCCTCAACTTTTAAGGACGAGTGTTTACTGATGCGATGCCTATCAATAGGTGTCCCATTGTTATGCATTTGTTTTCACTGGAATGTGTTTACCGAATAGTTGCCTAGCAGTGGGTCTATTCTTCAGAATTTATTTTTCGAAAGAGTTTCGTTTAATATGACATTGCCTTATGAGTTGCTAATAGACTGAATCTCACATTTCCAAGTATTTCTGGAGGCGTGTAATTACTTTTAACCCCCACATGTCTACAGATTCGACCACGTGCAGACATTACTCATGTACCTGGTGCCAGGGTCGAAATTTTTTATTTTTACAAACATATATGTCTTGACAGCATGTCACATCTTTTTACATTTCATCTTAAGTATGTCACTAGTTAGTTAGTTAGTTAGTTAGTTATTGGAGAGGGTGGGTTTCCCCATGCACTTAGACCTGTATTGGTCCATTGTGCTTCCCTCTATGATTTCTACCAGTCTCTATATCCTACCGGTACTGGTGCTTACCATCAGTCCCGCCCAGCCAGCGAGACCGGCTCTACTAGCTGAGAGGTATCTATAATGCTTCCCCCATCTACCGGAGGTATTAGAGACTGCTGTTGGGCGGGAAACGTCCGTAATTTGGCTCAGTGACCTCCTTTGGAGATATGAGGTTCTTTTACGTGCCGTAAAGCTACGACACGGGACCCACGGCTTAAAGTCCCTCCCGGAGGACTTGTTCCCTGAATTTTTCCGCCCTTAAAAATTCGACGACCTCCGCCGGGTATTTGAACCCGCGTACTACGAGTCATGAGGTGGGAACGTTACCTCTAGACGGGCTCCTGCGCTAAGTATGTCACTAATTTTCGGTGGAAATTTTTACCTCATTTCATAAATCCTACGGAGTTTATATAAATATCATTAACACATAAAAAGAATAGCAATTCTCACAATGCAAAATGGCGTCTAGGTACCGCAGAAATTAACTGTAGCGAGAGTTAAGTTGCGCTAAGCGACCCTCGTTCTCTGTTTTCCTGATATCTTCTCATACCTTGGCCAATGATGGGGAAAATATCAGCAAAGTAGAGGATGAATATAAATATTGTCACGTGATAGAGTAACTATAGAGGGGTTTTGGATCGATAAACGGATTCATTGAACACTTACAACTCGTAACTACAAGCAAGGATTATGCTCTCACTGCTATACACACTTCATAACTCACTCTGGGACATATTAACTCTTCTCACTCTGTTACAGTTTTAACTAGCCGTTGCATGGTAGCGGCCTCAACGGCGGCTGTTTCCTATCCTATGTGTTCCCGAACTGTCCTCGTGCCTCAGCTACCAGCTTCTCACAGCAACTGAACCGCATCAGTTCTGTAACTCCTAACTTGTTCTGCTTGTAACATCTCGGCACCTACCTCACGTAAAACATCGTTGCTCTGTTGCTGTTTACGGCCGCTGCCTATTAACGGTCGTTGTATAGTTACTTGTTGCGCTGTCGTTGCCTAACTAGTCGTATATATGCCATAATATTTTACCTGATGATGGCTATAAATATTGCGCGAAGTTAGTATCCCTCTTACTTTTAAGTCGCGTATTTAAATGAATTCTGAGAGAACATGATAATTGTTCAGCTACTCCAAAATGTTTCCGCATTTAGAAAAACCCTTGACAAAGGGGAAGAACTGAAGAGAGAGGGGGCAGGAGTTGTCTGCACACTGGCTGCAATTGTTAGTATTGGGCTTCTTTGCCAGTCAGAAAATGCCAATAAAGTTTAGTTATCTGTATCACTTGCGGGGATAATATTAAAATGGATCTTACGGAAATAGGATGGGGTGGTATGTATTGGATTGATCTGACTCCGGATAGGAACCAGTGGAGGGCTCCTGTGAACACGGTAATGAACCTTCGGGTTCCATAAAATGCTGGGAAATTCTTGAATATTTCTGTGACTAACGGCTTCTCAATAAGTGCTCAGCTCTATGAAAGTAGTTAGTTAGAAATTCATCAGAATTATATATTTATAACGTTGATTCCTAATTAACTAATCCCATCTAGATGAGCCATACTTGAGAAGCCGCCAGTTGTGCCCTTGGCACGAATTGGATACGAGGCTCTCTGGTCTGGACGCTGTGGAGAAGAGAAAAATCTGTAGCTGGTAATCGAACCCCTGCCGCCCAGCCCGTATCCCGTCGCTATACCGGCTTCACTGGAATGTACGCAACTGTAAAAATAGACTGCTTGCATAAAGAGAAGCTTTGTTTTTGTTGCGGCGAGACAACGGTTTCTTATCCACTTTCCGCCATTTTATTTTTTAACAAAATGGCCTGATGCGACAAAATGGTCGTTGGTAAGGTTGAGAACTGCTAATGTATAGGAGGAGGCGAGTTTGTGTGATTTGTATGCAGTACTGCGCCAAAACCAGCGAGAGAATTACATGCAGAATAGAAAGTGTCACGTGACCATTTGGAATGCACGATTTTGCCTTGTTTCTCGTCCTTGAGGATGTAATTTCCAACGACGTGTT